GCCTTAAAGGATGGCCTGTTTACGTGGCACTCCCCAGGCAGGCGCTGAAGAAGCAGGTGTGTTTGTGCAGGACGTGAAGGTGTCCCTAAGATAAACAGTCTGATACAATCTTTTCTTCTCTCCTCATTCTCCTGTTACTCTTATTGACCTGGGTGTTCCCACGGGCACAGGTGGGCTGGCTGTACAGCCTGCAAACACGTAATTACAGAGGCTATTATCCCGAAGAGACTCCATGGCAAGGGACGAAGTGTAATGGGGGGGAGTGGGGGGGGTGGCTACTGCTGCCGGCTGCCCTTCCTCCCCTCTGAGATTTGGCATACTTCACTTCAGCCCTGTCGCTTGGCCTCCTTCATGGCCTTCTCTGGAATGCAGACCAGTTATCACAGGTAAAAGGCTTGGTGGTAAAATCAATTCCCTTGTGGCCTTTTCCAGAAAGTTCAAGTCTGCCTAGGGATGGAGGGCACTCTCCTTTCCAGTTTCCAGTCAGATCTTCTGGCACATGAAGGGAGAGAGCCACACAGGACTGACAGTGTGTGAGGGCCTGGGAGGTCTCTTGGTACTAAGAGTGCACCCTGGGAGTTGCTGATGTCTCCTGGGAGTCAGTAAAGGTCGTGTTTGTCTGTGTGTTAGTCTTGGTCTCATGGGAAGCTCGAGAGCCAACTGAACCCCTGGGATAGCCTTTATAGCTGGTGGAGTCCAGGATGGTGGGTGTGGCCTCTCTTAAATATACTCCCTGTTAGTAAGTCCAGATTTGGGCAGAGGTGTGTGTGGGACCTGGTTGTCTCCACTTGGACCCAGAGGGGCAAGCATCGAAGGTGTAACTCACTGCCAAGGTTCCCACTCTTGAACACTTCCAGACTTCCTAATCAGGACAGAGGTGTGAAGGGGACAGGGAGATCACAGACCAGCTTCCTCACCAGGGAGGACTCTGCAGGCTCTGACAGACACCTGTGTGTGGAAGGCAAGCTAGTCTGTGCTAAACCAGGTTCTGGGCTAGACCAGGTTTCCAGAATGCAGAGAGCATTTCAAAGTGATTTGTGGAAGACAGTAGGACATGGGAATTAAATGGCTTTTTAAAAAACATTATTATTATTAAAGGCAGATCTCAGCTCTGGCTGGCCTGGAATTTTCTGTGTAGACCAAGGTAAACCAGGCTGGCCTCAAACTCCTAGAGATCTACCTGCCCACCTCTGCCTCCCAAGTGCTGAGATTGAAGGGGTGTACCATTTCACTCAGCCCTTCTAGCATCCTTTACCTTCGATTACTGAATAGTAGTTAGTCCCCAGATTCTTGGAGCCTCAGACTGTGACTCGATTTGGAAATCAGATCTTGATGGCTATCACCGAGCTAAAGTGAGAGCCACGCTCAAACTTAACTGGCATTCTTATAAGAAGAATAAAGCTTAGAGAGCCTGGAGAGTTGCTGTAGGAACCGAGGAGCCCCATTATTGCCGGCAAGCAGCAGGGTAGAGGAGTGACTCCCTGGAGTCTTCAGAAGGGCCCAGCAGGCAGGAAGAGAGTCCTTTGGTAGAAAGATGAGGAAGTGAAATTCTGGTTCTCATCAGGGTCTCACTGAGCAGACACAGGGGGTCCATGAGTGACTTGTCTGACATTTGACCACCTTTGAAGCTACATACCCTGGATATTCTCCACCCTCTCCAGTCTCAGCCACACTGGTCAGAAAGTTTTGTCTTAAAAGACTCAAAGTCCACTGGGGTGCTGTGCCCCCCAAGGTCTCAGAGGACCTGAAGCCATTCTCCGTGCAAGTGGGGTTTGCATCAACCCTCCCTTAGCGCAGTCTCCCCAGGTCTAACCTTGAGGGGGGTGGGGTGGGGGGCACACTGTCTGAGACGCTGCCATTTCCACACTCCCTGCAGGAAAAGCCGAGGTGGGTCCGTGGGCACCCAAGGCTTTATGATCCTTGAGCCTAGCCCTCCGAGGATGCCCTGGCGTCTTTCCAGGACCGCTGCAGAGCCGAGAGCTCACACAGGTTCCAGTCAGCCATTCAGCTGCCTTTCTGAGCACTGTGGAGGCCTGAGGACTGGAGACCCCAGAGCAGGTCTTGTTGAATGGGGCCAAGTTTAAATTTCAACAGAACGAATGTCCTCTCCCTAGAGACTTCTGTTCTTGGAGATTTAAGGTCCTCTCCTGGCAGATGGTCTGTTGCAGGTAGAACTTGCATCGAATTACGTCTGAGGCAAAGTGGTGAATGTTGGATTGGCAACAGTGGAAACTTGATTAAACACACTAGGGTGCCATGCTGCCTCATGGGAATGCAGTTCAGGCGGAGGGGGACAAACTGTAGGCCACGTTTGACTTTGGGTACATGTAATTTCTGGGCCTGGATTTCACCCCACCTTCCTGCCCCCTCCGGCATCCTTGGCGCCTTTCCCCATCTGTTAATCCATCCTGCCTCCTGCTCCCCCTCCCCAAAAGTAGGGCCTTTCTCCCCAACCTGTCTCCTTCTGCTGCTGAAACATTGCCATGGCCATTCTGAAGCATGATGCACTTCCTCTTCCGGTTCTTAGCCCTTTGGGGTGAAAAAAATGTTTTAAAAAACTCTGATCCTGTTGTGAAATTTTGCCATCTTCATACCCTGTGTTCCTTCAGACAGCACATCTCAGCCCCCCATCCACCCAGCCCCATGACTCACTCCCAATCTGTTTCTCCTGAGATTTATAGCTTGCATACATGCCTGCCCTTCTTCAAGTTAGCTACAGGTGTGTGTCTTCATCCATCACTCTCCTGGCGTCTAGCTCACACTGTGAGGAGTCCTGGAGAGCTCAGGGAGCCTGCTTGCCCTCCTCCCATTTACCTAGTTCCTTTTTTTTTTTTCCTTCCTTTCCTCTTCCTTTTATTTTTTTAAGACAAGGTCTCTAAACGTAGCTCTGGCTGTCCTGGAGCTCACTTTGTAGACCAGACTGGCCTGGAACTCACAGAGGTCTGTCATCCTCTCCCTCCTAAGTGCTGGGACTAAAGGCATGTGCCACCGTGCCTTTCATTTTTCTAATCAAAAATCGTCACCTTCCCAGAGGACCGCAGTATCGGCACCTGCCGGGCCACCTGCTGTGCGTCTCCTAGTCTCTCAGCTGGTTTGCTGAGAGTGGCCTTATGCACTCCTTCCCAGAGTGTGTTGGGAGGGACAATAGTGCCAAGGAATGGCCTGCCATGCAAGGCACCACGCAGTGAAGAAATCCCAAATTAATTTCTTAACACACCATCCCTAAAGGCAGACACAGAACTCTTTACTGGGATCACATGGGCAAGCATGCCTTGGTGACAAGTTCATTCTATGTGTCAACTTGGTTGGACCATGGTCCAGACATGAGATCAAACATTATTCTGGATGTTTCTGTGAGAATGCTGTGGTTAATGTCTAAGTTAAGGTTATATTGCTGTGATATAAAAGTTTTTCATCAAAAACAGTGAGGACAGGAACTCAAGCAGAGCAGGAACCTGGAGGCAGGAGCTGATGCAGAAGCCATGGAGGGGTGCTGCTTACTGGCTTGCTCCCTCCCCATGGCTTGCTCAGCCTGCTTTCTTATAGAACCCAGGACCAGCAACCCAGAGGTGGCACCACCCACCGTGGACTGGGCCCTCCCGCACTGATCACTAATTAAGAAAATGCCCCACATTTTCTTGCCTACAGCTGGATCTCATGGAGGGATTTTCTCAGCTGAGGTTCTCTCCTCTCAGATGACTCTCTGGCTTGTGTTGAGCTGACATAACACTGTTCAGCATAGTGAGATGATTCAGTTGGAGAGCAGAGGGGACTGTGCCCGTGATGTAGGTGGCCTCATTTCATCATCTGGAGACCTAAATAGAAAGAAAAAGGTCCCTCCCCCCTAAAGAAGGCACTCTTCTCTAGCTGGCAGTCTTTGAAGAATTCCACCGTGACTCTCTGAGAGGCTTTATTAGTACATGTGCTCACATGTGAGCTAGCCGGTGCCAGCTGTGTGTCATCTGCAGAGGTTGACAGCTGTCTTCCTCAGCCCTTCTCCGCCTTCGTTTTTGAGACAGGGGTCTCTCACTTGACCTGTCTTGGCTAGGCTGGCTGCCCAGCAGGCTCCAGGGATTTGTCTGTCTCCACCAGACAACTCTGGGGTGACGGACAAATGCAGCCACGCTCAGCTCTTTCCTCACGCTTGTACGGTGAACGCTTTCTTCACTGAGTCCTCTCTCCAGCTCCTAGTTCATCAATATCTCTAAACTCATTTTAAAGATCAAGACAGACCCAGGGCACATATGATACCTCCCAAGGCCGTTCAGTGACTAGGAACGGAGCTGGGACAGTGAGCCTGTGCGGCTGCGGGACGGCTTTGCTTCCAAATCTGCCATGCTTTGTCCCGTGCTCAGGGCAGAGTCTCACACCGAGGGGTCTTGTGTACATTATGTCGACAAGCGTGGATGAAGAATAGAACAAGTAGCATGCAGCGGTGAGCGTGCCCAGCCTTAAGCCAACTGTGGAATAACACGAGCCCTTGTCTTCCGCTGGGGAAGCCCTTTCTGGACCCAGCCTTCAGCTGAACAGTGGGAGTGAATGAGCTTTGGGTGTAACCTGGGCAGTGAGCAGTGAAGTTCCTGTCACCTTCCCCTGGCAATAGAGATATGTACAAGTGGATCTTTATGTTCCGGTCTCTGTCTTTTCCCCACAGCTTGCTGTTTCCCCCTTTGCCCAAGGAGACATTTCTTGCGTGCATTTCTCCTTGCTGCCTGGTGGAGCGGGCTCTCTGGTCCCCTCTTATCTCATCTCCCTCCAATCTGATTGTCAGCGCAGGCCCTTCCGCCATATGCATTTCTTCCCTGAACCCCCTCACCACCTTGATTTTTCTCTGGATACTTTCCTCTTTCTTAATGCCACTCTCAATCTGAGCTTTCTTCTGAATTTGGACACCAAGAGTCACCAGCAGTGACCGGCAACAATGAAGCCTAAGAAAACAGGTCATTTGAGCCGCGGAGACGTCAGTGAAAGACTCTCAGAATTTGGTTGGCCTTTTGTTAGGAGAACAGTGACTCTGTGAGCTGGCCTGAGAGAGACACTGGCCCCTTTTAAAGCGGACAGAGTCAGAATGGCATGTTCTGAAAGGGCAGCGTTGATAGCTGAAACTAGGTATCCCTCAGGCTGGGACTGTGGGAAGCCTGAGAGCATCCTGGGCACCAGCAGAGTGTCCAGCAGCCTCGGGAAGGAGAGGGCCCAGTGGAAAGCCAGGTGGATCTGATTGGTGGGGAGGGTGAGCAAGGGAAATTGCCCAGGGGGTGCGTACAACCCGCCAGGCAGAAGAAGCAGGAGCCAGGGGCACCTGGACAAGAAGCCCCATAAGATGTTCAAGAGGAGCTCTGGACAGGCGCTTGGATATACTACTGGACCTGGCGGGAGACCCATCAACACCGTGAGTGACGTCTCTGTCTGATATTGTTTTGGTGTTTGAGTCTCTCTCAGTCATGGAAGGTAGAACAGGCCGTGGGATGGAGAAAGAGGTAAAAAGGAAAGAGAGAGGGAAGGAAAGGAAGAGGAACCTCCGTGTCTTGTTGAATCAGTGATTAATTCACCGGCTTGTTTGAGCAATTCGTGTATCCAGCCGAGCTCAAGGGAATGCCAGAACATAGACAGACGTTCTTTACCGAGTTGGTGACAAGGGACGGTGTGGCTTTGATCACGGAGGACATGGAGATTGAATAATTACTCAGGGTTACACGGGCTTTGCGTTCATGTGTGTTACCAGCCAGATTGGATCCCAAAGGAAATAGAAAACCCGATGAGCACTTGGACTGAGGGTCACTGGGGCTTGCATCATATTCTCCACTAAGGAGTTTCACAGAGGCTCATTCCTAGGGTCCTCTCACTGGAAAGAGGGTGATATACATCTGTACTGATGAACATTGCTTAGGTTCCCTGTGAGCAAGGCTGTCCATCCAGGGCTGTCTCTGTTAACAAACACGTCTCCAGTGGCTCACCTAGTGATGGCTTTGTTTATTTTCTTTTGAGGAAAGTGTCCTGAGACTACATAGGATCCTGGAGGCCATACCATCGGGATTCAAATCCTAGTGCCAAGCTATGTCACCTTCCCTTGTCTGTAAAATGGAGATGTGTCTGTCAGTCCTTGCCTCACGGAGTTGATGTAGAGACGGAAGTTAGGTGGTACAGACAGGCTGCATGAAGTCGTAGCTGGCACTCAGCAGAGGACACACTCCTGTTATCTGTTACAACAGGAGGTCGTCATAACTAGACACTGCTGAGCGTAGGGGTGAGTTAGGGCTGCAAGACACAGAGTAGACCAGGATCCCCGCGGCCACAGGAGCAGATGGTACAACCCGCGGCATTATCTGGAGTCGTTGTAAAAGCAGGAACTTCAATTCCACGGGAGTAAAACTACTTAAGAAGATAAATCAGTGATTTTGCCCGACTTTGTTCCTCGGGAGAGATGAAGTCACCTCTCCTTTTCAGTTTGACTTCTCTTTTTCTCTAAACCTGATTTTTTTAAAAACTGTCTCAGTCGGGCAGCGGTGGCGCACATCTTTAATCCCAGCACTTGGGAGGCAGAGGCAGGCGGATCTCTGTGAGTTCGAGGCCAGCCTGGGCTACAGAGTGAGTTCCAGGACAGGCTCCAAAGCTACAGAGAGAAACCCTGTCTTGAAAAACAAAACAAAACAAAACAAACAAACCTGCCTCTACCAGAAACGATGGGCCATGGGGGAGGGGTGTGAGAGGAGGAAGTGAGGCCTTGGGAACTGGGTCAATGGTTTTAAAGAGTTTTGCTGCCTCTCTCCTTGGTAGATCTGCAGAAATGAAAAAATGACTAATCAAAACTCAGGTTAAGAGGAGAAGATGGCTTCTTTATATTAAAAAACAACAACAACAAACTGTTCCATCACAAACAGCAAAAAGTGTTCTATGGACTGTTGTTAGTCAAAACAATATTTCAGGAGCAGAATTCTAAGAACTTCAAGGGGGGCTATAATCCAAGAAGTTATATGACACAGTCCACACCATCATACACAGGAACTCACATTGCAAAACATACAGAGCCATAGACTGGGACAACCCGGGATCAAACATTTCTTACAGGGTGTGGAGGAAGTCCTGAGAGAGTGAAGTCCTGAGTGACTGTGTGTTGTTGACATGGACATGGTCATGTCAAGGACCCCAGAGCCTGAGACCCGTGGAGTGATGGCAAAGCCTTCTCCCCAGGGGGTGTGGCTCACAGGGAAAGGGCAAAGCCTTCCCTCGGGTCCCTGTGTGCATAATGATAGTGTGTGCAGAACATGTCTCCATAGCTTCCCCTCCCTGGATGTTTATGGCCTGAAGACACTCCACTAGAGAGGCTTTTCCTACCAAGATGAACTCAGGCTTTCCCCTTGAGTCATCTGTATACCCCACACCCTGCCTCCTTGTTATCTGTATGTAACAACCCACCTTTTCTGTTCAGAGTATAAAATAAACACTCTGACTTCTAGGGACTAAGCTTTCCCCATCTGAGAGCCCAGTCTGTCCAACCCAGCTCTCTGTGTCTGTCTGTCTGTCTGTCTGTCTGCTTTTTCTTTATTCCCCCTCCACTCTCAGTCAGGTGTAAGTGCCGGAAGCTGTGTATGGATGCAGGCAATGGGGCCCAAACAAGGACAAGAGTGTAAACGTTGGCTGTAGGGGACTCTCCTAGGTCGGATGAGGGAATACTCCAGGGACAAGTACGCTTATGCAGACCAAAGGAGTAATGGGAAAGTGTTGGGGATATTCGATCACACTGTGAACCCCGGGTTTGCATTTGCATAATTAAATAAAATTAACCTTTGGTCAGGAGGCTGAGTTAGCAACTAGTTGACAGAAAGTAACCACAGAGCATCAGAGGATGTCCGGGAGAGACCCGAGAGACACAGGAAGTAGTAGGGTGGGGTTTGGAGTGGCCCAGGTGTTTCTGCTTTGGTGAAGGGGAAGCATGGGTGTAGCAGGAATCTTAAAAGGTCTTATTAATAAAAACAAACCTGGACCAGGTATTGGGGTGAATGCTGGAAGATCAGAGAGGCAGAACAAGCCACAGCTACCTCACTTCTCCAGTTCCTCAGCTGATCTTGTTTCCTCAGACTGGAAGCCTCTGAGTCCTTATCCAAATGAATCTCAGCTGAACTGCTACTCAAAAGCCTGAAAGCTTAACCATCCAAATGCTTAACCAGCCAAAATACTTCTAGTTTCTGGTCCTCACGCCTTAAATACCTTTCTGCTTTCTGCCATCACTCCCTGGGATTAAAGGCTCACTTCTTGGGATTAAAGGCGTGTGTCACCATGCCTGGCCTTTTCCAATGTGGCCTTGAACTCACAGATTCAGAGGGATTTCTGCCTCTGGAGTGCTAGGATTAAAGGCGTGAGTGCCACCATTTTCTAGCCTCTGTATCTAGTGGTTGTTCTGTTCTTTGACCCCAGATAAGTTTATTAGGGTGCACAATATTTTGGGGAACACAATACCCCCACACATGGGGCTTCCGTGGACATCAGCAAAGGGCAAGGGTCAGCTAGTTGCTACTCGGCCTCCCTGAGCTCACAGGTTTTTACCCCAGCCTTTGAATCTCAAGTCTTATTCATAATTAGATTGATAGAGATTTAATTAAAGCTATCTTAGCGGCAGTGACAGGGCCGGTGCCCGAGGGAACAGAATCCCCCCAGGCTGTGGCCTGAGCAGCCAGGCCATTGCTAGAGAAGCGGGCGGTCACTGCCGAGTTGCTAATGCCAGCAGAGAGCAGTAGATTAAGGCGGAGCCACTGTGAGGTTAAAACAACCGAAAAGAGGATGCAGAGAAAGGAAGAAACAAATGTGAAGAGAGAAATAAGGATAAAGAAACAAAGAAACGGACAGAAGAAGAGCCGTTTAAAGCAGCTGGGTATAAAACACGCCGTCCCCAGCTGAGAGCCCAGGCCACCCAGTCACTGCTCTGAGTCTGTATTTGTTTTTTCTCTATTCCCTCGATGCCCCAGTCAAGTCGGTCCCTGGGAGCCGTGAAAAGATACAGTAGTTCCTCCTCTTAATAAGTTTTCATTTCTTAAAGTTTTTATTTGAGTATAATTATCATAACTGAGATACACAGGCATATATACAGTTCAACCGACGTAGAATTACAGACACTTTGGCAACCACCTCTCAGAGCACAGTACGTATTCCGTCATACCAGGAAGCTCCCTCAGCCCCCTCCAGTGACTCCCTCTCTCCTCAGCCCCCTCCAGTGACTCCCTCTCTCCTCAGTCCCCTCCAGTGACTCCCTCTCTCCTCAGTCCCCTCCAGTGACTGCCCCTCTCTCTCTCCTCAGCCCCCTCCAGTGACTCTCTCTCTCCTCAGCCCCCTCCAGTGATTCCCTCTCTCCTCAGCCCCCTCCAGTGACTCCCTCTCTCCTCAGCCCCCTCCAGTGACTCCCTCTCTCCTCAGCCCCCTCCAGTGACTGCCCCTCTCTCTCTCCTCAGCCCTTTCTGGTTTCTAAGTCACCTTTGTCTTTGTTTAGATTTTCTGTGAATGGAATTAACTATGTGCAATGCTTTCTGGTTTGACGTCTGTTCCTTGGTATGTTGTGCTTGGTTTGTCTGCCTCGTCAGATGTTTCCACAGTCCGTCCATCTTCATTGAAGCAGAGTACTTCACTGTATGATTATTGTGTTTCCAGTTTCAGCAACACGTATGACAAAGACTCTCCCTTCTCCATGAATGACTTGGATACCTTTGCACAGACTCCAGCTGGCATTGTGTGCTGGTCTATTGTTAAGCTTGATTTAATCCAGTTGATTTTGACTGTTGTACCATTACACTGTGAGTTATGTAAGTTTTCTGGGTTGGTGTTCTTTCTTCAAACATCATTTTGGATCTTTGGGGTGGTTTGAACGAGATGTCCCCCACAGACTCTGGTATTTGAATTCTCGGTTCCCAGTTGCTGGTGCCGTCCGGGGAGGAAGTACAGCCTTGCTAGACGAAGTGGGTCGCTAGAGGTGGGCTTTGAGAGTTTAAAGCCTTACTCGGGTCGCTTTCTCTGCTTCATGTTTATCATCGAGGATGTGAGCGCTCGGCTTCCAGCTCTGGCTGTCATGCCTCCAAGGCCATGGTGAACTCTTAGTCCTCAGGAACAACAAGCCCCAAACAAACCCTTCCCTAAGTTGCCTTTGGTCACAGCATGCTATCACAGCAACAGCAAAATAACCACTGCAGTATTTCAAAGCTTTCGTGTCTCTCTGCATCTGTTAGAGTCAGCCTATTAGTTTCTCTTCAAGACATCTGCTTGGGTTTTTATGCAGTTTCTATAGAACAAATCCATATGCTTATAAAACACAAGTATCTTAAAACATTGCATCCTCCAGTCAATGAACATAGTATATCCCTCTGTCGGCCTCTTTAATTTTTCTCAGATATACTTCAGAGGTTTCAT